CCGCCGCGAGGCGTGCGTAGTGGTGGAGTTGGGTCGGCACTGGTGCGTCAGGTACAATGGTGAAGATGCGCGGGCCTCCAGGCCGTCGGCGTAGGCAGCAATGTCCATCTCATCTTTGTGCGCGAAGGCAGACGTCATCAGAAAGGTGGACGGGCACTATGTACACGGCCCTAGGTTTGCTAGAAGGAGCTGTACTGTCTCAGTAACCTGGTTTTGCCGTCAAAGGAGGAGGGGACAGGTGGTGACGAGCTGATTGGGCTGGTTGACCCTTCGGCGCGAGAATTTTTCGACCAAGAACCCTAAGTGCAACCAGGGAGAAAGCGAGGAACCGACTGGGATAGACAGCAACGAGAGCGTGCACGAAGCGGAGCGGGTCGAGTTTGGTCGTGCTAGGACTGGCCACAGCGGCACCGGAGCAGCGGCACCGGAGCAGCGGAACCGGAGCAGGCGGACGGCATCGAACCGTGGCGCACGGACAAACATCTCTTGTGTTGTCAATTATTTTTTATACTTTTCTTAATATGACACAACGAGTCCATCTCTGTCATTGATAAGAGTCAGACAGATTGACAATGGAATCATTGCGTCAGAAAAAACTACCTGCCTGTATGCCTACGATTTCCCAGACAGCATATAGGGACATCTCCCCTGTGGAAAACAGGCTCAACAAATCAGTTTGGAAGCTGTCTTGTGTGTCTCATATATGTTATCTTGGGAAGGTGCAGACGAAGGTTTTGGGTACTGTTGGTTAGTCGGGCGTTTTGTGTGTCGCACCCTGTTAGTTGTAGGGCATGCAATCTCCATTAGTTTACAAACGTACTTTCCGTTTTTTTTCCTGAATACAGGTGTTGGGTGTGTGTGATGGCGTCACTGGTTTCGTAGAGAGACGCGGCAGAGATGGCGCGGTTAACCCGGGTGCTTTTAATTGTGTACCAGCATCGTGGAAGACACCTTCAATGTGGAACGATTCCTAGTCAGTGTCGATGTTTACACTGCTGTGCCTAACACAGATGATTTGGATAGATTCGGGTGATTGTCAATTGCAATGATGGCATTGGTTGGGTGTTCTTCTTCATTGTATGTCCACGGACTCATTCTGACAGCACTTCAGACAGCAGCTGCATGCCCCGAGCTTGTGTACCATGCAACATGGTGGTATTATTGTACAGACAGCACTTCAGACAGCAGTACGCTGTAGTCGACAAACATTCATTTTGGTTAAATAAATGCGGGACGAGGGGGGTAATGCTGCTGCTGTAGTCGATTTGTAGTGGGTGGGCGTGTAGTTCAGTTGTAAGCATGCAAACGTGCTGCATGCAGGGGTTGCAGGTGTACCTCCTCGGGCTTGCGTACCCTTTTCTTGCTAATAGTTAGTGTGGGTGTTCTTTGGATCTTCTGATGGCTCTAGCATTTTTGTGACCACGGACCGAGTCTTTGCTAGATTTTGGGAATAATAGCAACTGACACGAGTTTAATGTGAAGAAAAAAAAACAAACAAAGTCCCTGGCAATGGCCACTCTGTAGTAACGGTGTGCAGCGGCTCACAGAGTGACAGCAAAGTACAATTTAACTTGTGTTGTAGACCAGAAAAAATGGTTTGAATTGGCGCTTAGGCTGATTCTTATTCACCGAGATTCCTTTCCAAAAAAGCTTCACTTTTCGAGGTGGGCAAAAATCTGGCTTCTTGTTGTTGTTGTTGTTGTTGTTGTCTTCACATTAAAAACCATCCCGGTCTCTCTATCCAGTACCTCCTTCTGTCTCAATCTCTCCGTACTAATCCATCACTTGACTCGGCCAATTTCCGTGGTCACAGGCTAACGTACCTAGAAAAGGTATACCAAAATAAAATGGACCCCAAGGGTCAGCAGAGCGATAAAATACAAGAAAACAAAATATAATCAGAAACAAATAAAATAAAA